ATATACAAATATACACTCACTTAACCACATATACACGCACACACACACACACACACACACACACATATATATATCTCTGTGTATTTATGTATGTATGTGTGTATGTAAATATGTATGTATGGATGTAAAATTGATGTATGTAAGTAAGCAATGAATTATGAATGTATTTCTCTACGTATATCTGTATATATGTATATTTGTATGGAATTATTCAATAAAGTGTGTATATACATATACATTTACATGTTCCCATTCACAGTTTGACATATGTAATTATTCAGTAGTGTGTATGTATACGGGTATTAATACATATGTTTTATTTTTTTTCATACTAGATACTACATATATACATACGATGAACTTCGCTGTGCTCTATACGTGGGCGTCTCCCATTCATATTAAACCTTCACTTTTAAATCGAGTCGTTGGAGAGTGACGTCAGCCTCCCCTTGAACTAAACCAAACTCTCGTACACAACAACGGCCGTGTGATCCTGACGGATCACGCTATGTAACTAACACAGAAATCTCTTTACAAGTAAACATACACCAGAACACAACCACTAATACTACTAGCACTAGAAATCAGTATTAGATTGAGTCATTAAAAAATATAAGACCTCAGACAGACCTAAATACTTATGTTGAGTCATCAGGTCTGTTTATTCCAAAGAGAGGCCTTCGAGCAATTGTCCTCAAGTCCCAACAACAACAACGGATTGAAGATTAGGCGGCAGACACATGACCATCCGAAGCATCGCATTGGCTGCGCCCCCAGATTATAATAAAACCACATAAACTGGAGCTAGGGTTTTAGGGTTTTGGGGTTTGAACGGTTTCAGCCGCCTCGTCACGTAATGTTGCGCAGGTCATATGTATGTATGTTACATAAATAAATAAATACATGAAAGATGATGGTGTATACTAAACTACAGTATAAAGATATAAATATGTGTACACATATGTAACACAACGCACCACACAGTGCACAGCGGTTAGTGTTCTACTACCAGAGCTTGACTAGTCCTCGAGGGAAACATACAAACACACGAAAGTAATAGGTATAGGTATACACTGCACTATTGAACGCATCCACAGACCATCGACAATGCGACTGTCGTGCGTGGTTGTGAGTCTGTTATGGCCTATTGCCTGCAATGCCTTTGTGTTGGACAGACCAGTACAGGTGCGTTGCGTGTGATGTGGTGGTTTCTTTTGTACTCGCTTCGCGTGCTTCAGAGATGCTGACACGAGTGTGGTGTTGGCTGCAGTTTGAGTGGCTGGGTTGTATTTATCTGCGCAGAGTCGACCTAACAATGAGATCAGTAAAGACTGATTGCATATAGCCAAGCGTTACCGTATCTATCAATAAATCGATGTTTAATCCGGAGTTTAATAGACACAAGCACATTTAGTAGCTGTATCGAGTGCACTCGGTAGGTTCGACTTCTGTGTCTTCGTGAATGTACCTTGTTGCCCACGTGGTGAATCCTGCATATACACACGAAGACTCAAGTGTCGTGCATGCAACGAATATGGCAGTCGATAACCGAAGCCTGTCAATCTAACATACTTGTATGAGTGCACATACGACGGTCATATAAACTTGTCTGTAAACACATATGCTTGCACGCATGTTGACACATGCTATGGTCTTATTGTAACTTTATATACATATGCCTGCTTCTGATTAGTAGTACACGCATGCATGCATACACATGCGATGGTTTTATTATAAGTACATATACATATGCTTGTATCTGATTAGTAGTACACGCATGCACGCATACACATGCGATGAAATATTGTAAGTGCATATACATATGGTTGTATCGGGTTAGTAGTACACGCATGCACGCATACACATGCGATGGTCTTGTTATAAGTGCATATACATATGCTTGTATCTAGTTAGTAGTACACGCATGCACGCATACACATGCGATGGTTTTATTGTAAGTGCAAATACATATGCTTGCATCTGGTTAGTAGTACACGCATGCACGCATACACATGCGATGGTTTTATTGGAAGTGCATATACATATGCTTGTATCTGTTTAGTAGTACACGCATGTACGCATACACATGCGATGGTTTTATTGTAAGTGCATATACATATGC